GGGGGACGAGACTCTTTCTGGTACCTAGTTTAAAATCAAAAGGTTTGGCTTGTTTGAATATTTGAAAATTTTATTATGTAAAATGTTTTGAACCACCGTCAAAATTGAATAGAAAACAATTAATGTTTTAGTGTTCTTTGTAAGAACATTAACTTAATCCTTCCTTGCAGGCTTGAATAAAAGAAGGCCTTACCGGAAAAAATGAATTAATAATAATATTAATTAATAGTTATCAAGTCTTATTATAGTCCATATTGTTCGGAATTACTGGTATCACTTTCTGGTTAGCGTGCCGACAGATTGTCATTAAATGTCCCCCACGTAAATCCTTATCGGAATGCGATCTTTTCCTGATTTCGCTTTAAGTACCCGTCGTCATCATTGTTATAGATTGCTATCATGTATAAGCAGAGTGTGGATTGCGTATTAAACAAGAATCATAGTATTACGGTTAGAACTTTTTCTTCAAATACATAATTTAATGGAGAAGTTTGATTATTACTTGAAATTAATATGCGTTATTTGATTTCAAAGACAATGTAAAGGAGTTTTTTCAATTGTGAAATTTCTTATTGAGGTCTGAGGCGTGATTTTAGTTTGTTAGTACCTCGCTCTGGTGGCCATTGACAGGCCAAAAGTACAGGCAGATCGAAATGACCGAAAATGACAGAAACTTTAATAAATTGATGCAAATTTCTCCCATCTAAGACTTATTTATAACCACCTTATCACCTCCAAGTCTAAGATTTATAGTAATAATATCGTTTTTTTTTTCTATATGACTAGTGGGTTTAAAAAAATTTATTGTATTAAAATGTTAATATTTTGATTTTATTCTGATATATAAAATATAAAAATTTATAGAGATTGATATTTAAAGCTTTAGGTGTCGCGGACAAGGTGGTCAAACCACTTTCCCCGTTATTTATAAATAAAAATCATATGTCTATGCCAGGATTCGACCCTAGAATTGGAAGGACTCGGCACTCTCTTCTGCACGAAACTTTGAAAAGGAAGGACCCTCGTGGATCGAGATCAAGCAGGTTTTTTTTAAAATAAATCTTTTGATCTTTCTGTGTGATCTGAAGATCCATATTTTGGGTGTCATCTCCCCTTTTCATTAATTTTATTGTTTGTTTTGGTTTAACTATTGCATACGCAAAATTTACTTTGTTGAATTGGTTTTGGAGAGATTTGGAGGCGGACAACGTTTTAAACGGCCAGCGTGGTAAATACGTAAATAGTCGGACGCCTAAACGCGCAAATAAATAACTTTCATAATAGTTCGTTTCCAAGCATCTTGGCCACTCTAACCTCGTCAGAGGCACTTTGAGAATCAGACATCTTTAGTGGTTGTCAGAACTATAAGTAGGGAGAGGCACTGGCACAAACCCACCTCTTGTGACGAATGGTCGGGAATAAAAAGAACAAAAATAACGATGATAAAAAATTCCCGAAATACAATTTTAACGGGTGACCATTCAGTTAGAAAGGTAATTAGTACAAACAGCTCACTGACATTATAAACCTTAGATGTTTCCCATCATAGTGGTATTTTGGACTGCCAGGCACGTTTTAACAGTTTACATCTTTAGCGTTCGTCAAGGTATAAGCAGAGAGACAAACCTGATATTGAAGATGGCTAAAAGAGAAATTAAATCATTAGAATCAACCATGCTACAAGTCACCCTGCTGACCTCGAGATGAATTCTCAGAAATAACTTATATCATCTTTTACTCGGTATGTATATATGCATTTTGGCAACGAATTATAAGATTTTATTGAGTGCAAGTTGAAGCATCCGACAACCAAACATTATGATCTAGAATTTTATGTTCTTCTGACTGGGCCGTTACTGATCACGGTCCACCTATCCTCGGTTGTAGGGACAGGAAGATGGCCAAGTGCCGTATCACATGAAACTAACTCCAATTTGTTTTTTCCGTAACAATTGCAATTGTTTATTACAAAACGTCCGAAAATAGTTTTCCTTTTGACAACACCAAGATGAGGGGAGTTATTTGAGGTCAAATTAAAACAGAAAAATAACCCGATTCTGTATGAAGTCATCAACAAACCCGAGGTAACATCACCGGAAGGAGTCAGCATAACAAAGCAGATCATACGTACATTGTATCCGGGTGTGTATGGAAAACCGCATACAATGCCCATATTTTATATGGTTTAAATTTCAGTTGTGTTTTTTCAGTATATTTGGAGATAGATTTTTCTTTGGGCAGCCCCAATTTCAGGATTGTTGAACAAATACATTTTATATAGACAATTAATTGATAACTATAGTAAAAAATTATATAATTATTAATATAAATTCAAATAGTAACAATTTTTAAACAGCTATTTTGACAAGTATGAAAGGTCTGAAATTTCAATATGTCTGGACTTCAACAATCAAGAGATTCGTAGTTTTAAATGTCCGTTAAATTAAATAATTATTCAATGTCAATTATGTGACTGTATTAATTAACAGATTTTGTGTGTGTGTTGTGTTGTGCTGTGTAGTGTGTGTGTGTGTGTGTGTGTGTGTGTGTGTGTGTGTGTGTGTGTGTGTGTGTGAGTGTGTGAGTGAGTGAGTGAGTGAGTGTGTGTGTGTGTATAATTTGGCACATAAACTTATTTATATTTTTATTAATTTAAAGTTGCACTATCAGGTGTTTAGATGAGCTGTTGCTAGTTTACATACCACGTAATGTAAATAATTAAATTATTTAAAAAATTCATTCGGGCCGCGTTGATAATGAGGGACAAAAATTTCGGAAATATTGGTAAATAAAAAAATGTTTTCAAATACCACAGTCCAATCAGTTAATAATTATCACCATGAATCAAGAATGTTTTTCCATGTATGGTACACGATTGTTGACTGTTTTTATAAGAGAATTTAAAAATTGAAATTGGGTTTTATTTGTTAATATCTTCGAAAGTACGAGTATCTTTTCAAAGTTGAAAGAAACGGTTCAAAAACGCTAGAAACGGACGGATATATCTCTATACAGGTCGATTTGAAAAGAAAATAATCTAATATTTGATCTATAGAGAATATTAAACAATGTTTAATCAAAAATCAATCAGGGTGTGATAATAATTTGTAAAATGACAGTCACCATTTGGTCAGGTTTGATTTCTTTCATGTTTATTTCATGTCTTGTTTGTTTGTATGAAATGTCAATTTACAATTTCTTTTGAAAAAGATCTATATGTCAACACAAACAATAAATAATAATTATAATAAATCAATCAGGTTTCTTAAACGGTAATAATTTGTAAACGATAGTCGACAGTTGTTTCAAGCGATTCTTTTTTAACTAGTTGGGTTTTTTCTTAGCATCTTCGGAGGCGTGGTTGTCAATTAAAAGTTTTGATTGATTTCCGCAAACTTGAAAGGAACAAATAAACAAGTTTTTTTTAATCAATTGGTGCTGATTAGTAAGTAATATAATAAATTATCTGACTTCACAAATGCAAAATTTTGAAAAGTCAGGTGTGTTTGTTAGCATATTGTATATAAGAATCCCATTTAAAAATTTGCTTTAGAGACATTTTCAGAGAAAAATTAAATAATTCCAATAAGATTTCTTAAACAGTAAACCAAATGATCAGAATTAACTAAGCCTTATATTTTCTATGAGCAAATTGACAGTTTTTTCATTAATTACCTATCTTTCTTTATGGCCACACGTAAAAATTGCATTTCGGTCTTTTTTTTTACCTTTTCTCGCTATTTTCGAATGACTCAGACCATTTCGCCATTAAGTGCCGGGTTTGTACCGGTGCATCTCCCTGCTTATAACCCTGACGACAGCTAAAGATGTCAGACACTCAAAGTGCCTCTGACAGGGCAATTCAGCAAGGTTACACTGACCAAGATGATTGGACACCAATTATCAAAGTTGTTTATTTGTGCGTGTGAGCGTTCGACTCGTACTTCCACGCTGGCGGTTCTAGGTTCGAATCCTGGCATAGCCCAATGCTTTCTATTTGCAAATAACGTGAACAAAATTGTAAAGTGGTTAGACTTAGTCCGCGACATCTAACGTGTACTTGGATGTTAAGCTCTTTTTAATGAAAAGAATCACTTCAGATACAACTTTAAATATTAAGTTCTACATATTTTTATATTTTATATAACTAACGGAATACAATAAAAATATGAACAATTCAATACAAATATAAATCGTAATCGATATGCAAAATTTTAATCCTGGGGGGGAGATGCTTGTAAATAAATCTTAGGAGAAAAAATCTGTGTCAATTTAAAAAAAATAGTGAAATAGTCAAAGTGCCTCTGACAGACCAAAACAGCAAGGTTATACTGACCAAGAAGATTGGACATGACCAATTATCAAAGATATATTTTCCACGTTGGCGGTTCTATGTTCGAATCCTGGGCCTACAAATGTTTTTTATTTGTAAATCATGATCAAAAAAGTTGGTTTGTTTGTTAGCATCTTCGGGTCAATTAAAATTTTGATTGATTTCCGCAATTCTGAGAGGAAAATTAAGCTGGTTTCTTTCTTTAAGTGTCAAAATTAATTAACCTAATAATCAATCTGGTCTTCATAAAATGAGAAATTTTGATAGGTAAGATTTGTTTTTGGTATATATGTAGATAAGCATGTCAGGTTTTGAGCACCAAATTTCAAAGAAAAATTAAATAATATTTGTTATAAATCAAAGGTTTCTTATATGATAGTAGCTTGTAAATGGCAGTTGAGTGTTATCACAAACGCGACGATTAAATAAATTAACAAACATAGAGGGAGTCTTTGGAGATCGAGATTCCAGGTGGAGATTTGTAGTTAGAACAGAAAGGTTGAGTGTTTATGAAAGATATTTGTTGGAGATCAGGTATTTCCAAGGATTTGGACTATTGGCGCACTGGCTTGGGGCTCATTGTTTACTGTGTTCACACGTGTGTTTTGTAGGTTGATGTTGTCTTAATGTAAAATCATATAATGTTTTTAATTTATATGCCTCTCACCTGAAGAAGGTCGGTCAGAATATCTGGTACAATAGACCCAGGCGGGCCAAACGGGTCCATTCGGATCGTCCGGGATGACGGGGTCGATTTTCGTAGGCGACGGGACTTCTTCTACTCCTTTCCTGGGGCAGGCCGACTGAGGTAGAGAGGCTGCTACCCTCCTTGCGACTTTGCCGAATTCCGGGCTGAGGATGTTGTCCACTGAGAAGGAGAGCGTGGGAGCCGGCTCGGGCTGTGCCGGGGGCGGCGATTCCTTGCTGCTCGGATAGATGGACTCCTTGCCTGGCGAGTATGCCGGGAGCCGGGGCAAGACCCCCGGGAACTTCTCCGGCCTCGTCAGGAGGTCGATCCTGTGGAAGGCGGAGGTCCGCTTTTCGACGGCGTTTTCCAGGGCCATCACAACACCATGTCAAGTCGACCGGCGGGCGGATTGAGAGCTTCTGTCACCGGGTGACAGCTTTAAACTAAGATTTCAAACTCGAAATCTGTCCCGGCGAGAACACGCCCACGGGCCAAGTCCCCTCCACGGACTTAGGGAACGCCTTTCGGCGCAAGCGCTCATCCTCGTCCAATCCTGACTTGGATCCCAGCCCCACCGGCGGCATTGTGAAAGAGACGAAGCTACACGGACCCCCGTGCGACTGACAGAGAGGGAAACATAATAATGGAAACTAGTCTTCTTTCTTCTCCCCCACGGGCGGAGAAAAACCGAGATCAAGTTATTACCGGGAAGATTGGGCACGCCCATTCCCCCTGGGGACTTAATCTACTCGATTACATATATTGGTAACAGGATTGAAGGTTCTATATGTTTATTAACTCTTGATGGAATCATTACACACTTATGCCGACCTACCTCCTTACCTATTAATTATTTCTTCACTAATACAACCCCTTTTCCTCCTCTTTCGAATATCTCAATTTTTCTCTTCTTGTATTTTTTTTCACGCTGGACGCGAATTTTCATTTTGCCACCGACCACCTCATTTTATGCGTCATCCCATTCCAAATGATAATAAGAGAATCAAACATTTTCGTATCTTCTCATCCCTAAAAAAAGAAAAAAGTCTCCAAAATTCGAATGAAATATATCATACATATATACTTTAAGACGTTTTGACAAAAAAATTAGCAGTCAAAATATGTGTGTTATTTTTGACAAGTTGCGGCATTTAGTGACGATAATTTGCATTTAACTAGAAAAACTAGAAAATGTGCATATAAGCGAAAACATAAAGACAACGGGAAAAATTCAATCAAACGCTAAAGATAAAATAAAAAAATTTATGCACATGGATTTTACGAGGCAAAGAAAATTCAGGACAAGAATAGAAATACATAACAGAGGTCAGAACGCACACAAAATAGATTTTATCGGTCTTTTGATTTTCTAATCCTGTGCAATTGAAGTTTATCATATATTGATAATATTTTTGTTGTTATGGCAAACATTTTTATTAATGAAATTTTCAATAAATTATAAAAAGTTCAGGAATGAGGATAGACTTCAAGAAAACATAAGTTGATGATACAATTCTTGCAATACTTAAAGATGATGGTACTCAGTTGATAAAATTACACAAAGATGTAAGGTTTACAGTGGTTCTTTTTCCACAGTAAACGTTATGTCTTTATTTAATTAGAAAATGGAATCTTACCCTTTTTAGATATAGTTTGTAGAAATAATAACACATTTAATATTCATAAAAAAACCTGAATGTTCTGATAGAATATCAAACTTTTTTTCATCAAATCCAATACATCAAAAATTAAATATTATGACAAATATGATCCAAAAAAATACGTAAAATAAGTGATCATGTATCTGAAAGAAAATTAACAAAAATGGTTGAATTACTCAAAAATAACAATTATCCTGAAAAATTAATTTTAAATTTAATAAAAACAGATAAAAAGAAAATTTTACAATAATAAGTGTAATAATAATGAAAACAAAAAGTATATAGGCATTGTATTCACAGAAGGACTGGAAGGTATTATAAATATTTGTTAAAAATAAAACTTTGTGGTACAATTTTATTTTTAAATTAAATCCATTATAATTAGTGGTCTGATGGACAAAATTACTTCTTTCAATTAATTCATATTTTTATGTAAGGTCTTGGTTGAAATGAAATTATTTATTTATAAACATTAATTATATTCTTCCATCTATAAAAGATAAATAGATAACCTTCTTAAAAATAATTATTCAGAAATCGTGAGATGCGGTCTGGTGTGATGTAGGTTTCAGAAAAACATTTTCTTTATCGTGACAACGTTTCGATCTTTATTGAGATCATCTTCAGGGCCCGGGATTTACAAACATTGTTTACATTTAACAAATACATTTTAGGATGTGGAAAAGTGAATTTATACAATGCAAAATATATTTTTTATATTCAATCGAAGTATTTCTACTCACTCAAAGTGTTTGTCTTCTGTGTAATTGTGCCATTCTTGCGTGTCGTGTTGAAAAAAATATATTTATTTTTTTATTATTAAAAAATATATTTTGCATTGTATAAATTCACTTTTCCACATCCTAAATGTATTTGCTGAATGTAAATCCCAGGCCCTGAAGATGATCTCAATAAAGATCGAAACGTTGGCACGATAAAAAAAATGTTTTTCTGAAATCTACATCACACTAGCCCGCATCCCACGATTTCTGAATAATTATCGATTAACGGTCACTAATCACCACACACTTAAAAATAATAAGTAAATAAATAATAATTTTTCTTTGAGACTAACCCCTCAGGGGATTTTGAACAAATAAAAATAACAGAAAAATAAAATAATGAAAAACTTTAGACGAAAGCAATTATTGCAGGGGGTTAAATTTAAATAAAAATTAATTAAATGATTGAGCCTTGTCAGAGTGTTTCTAAGGATTTACTTATATTTTGGTCGTTTCCGATCATTTTCTATTTACCTACCCTAATTTGACCATTGTATTCGTTCTGGAAGTACTGAATCTTCTTTGGTTTTTAGTGATATAACAGGATATCAGACGATTGTGGACCATTCAAGAAAGCTGAACCAGAAAACGTTTGGCAGTCTAAAACAGCGATTACAGGCCGCCCAAAATGATCCCAATCCGAAGCTAAAACACTTCAAATCATGATGCAAGATATAATTATTAAATAACAGAGCTAAAATGTAAAAAGGGCAATTTCACAGTCTTTGGATGTCAAAAGATCTATAAGTCTATTTTGTGTAAGTTCTGACTTCTGTTTGATATTCCTTTATTCTGCTGCTGAATTTTCTTTCTCAAAAATTTATACGTAATATTATTTATTTTATCTTTAGCGTTTAATAGCATTTTATCGTTGCCGTTTCTGTATGGTAAAGAGGGTGAAGCTAGTTTTGAGGATATTGAGTAATTTAATTTGCTTGCCAGTTAATAAAACTTTGGTTTCAGCAAAGCGTTTTGAAAATTGAAAACAAAGTCGGGCCCAGTGTTGAGCCCTGAGGAACACCTACTTCTGTAATGAAGGGAGACGAAAATGAGTTTTCAGCGCATCAGGAAGACCTTTTTTGGAGGTATAAGTTTTCAATTTTGACTATTTAATATTGACTAGATGTACTGGGAACTTTAACTTAATTCCGTTTTGCTGCAAAGTGACGAAGGCCTTTTCCAGGACTAGGAGGACAAAACCTGTTGTTCTTTGCGGTGGAAACATTCTGTGACCTTATGTACCATGCGAGCCAAATGAGTTACAATACTGTGCCCGGGGCGGAAACCAAATTATACTATCAGATGTAGCATAGATTTGTAGGATTCAAGTCTTTTTAATACTATTTTTTCAAATATCTTACTCAGAGAGCTGAGTAAACTAATTACTTTAAGAATTTTGTGAGGCTTACGGTTTTTTCTAATATAAATAAATTTCAAAACTTTCCAGCATTCAGGAAAATAGTTTAGGAGAAGCAAGACGTTGATGAGATAGGTAAGAAGCCAAAGTTTTTCTTGGAGGAAAATTCTTAAGCATGGAGTCAAGATCTAATAGAACCCAGGTGCTGTTTTTTAGGGATTGGATGATGTTAGAAACTTCAGTTGATGTTATTGCTCGATAAATTAAGCCCACATAACTTTGTTGAATGTTTACAATTGCATAGTGTATGTGATTTGAATTAAAAATAACTTATTGCTTTGGGCAATTTGGTTTATTTAAATTAAAAGCTTTTAGGGAATAACAAATTGGAGGTGAAGGTAAAAGTAATACTGACAAAAATTCTTTAACGATTTTAATTAACCGCCTGCAATCGCTGTGAGAAGTAAAATTTATTGAAGTCAGGGGCTGTGAATAAATAATTCAGTTTTTTTATTTTTATACCGACAAAGGAGGCCATTAGCGGGGCCGCCAGTCCTTGTAATTTTTTATTTCGGTACAGGGGATCACCTGAAAAAGGGGGTGATTATTTAGCCCGATCCATTATTTTTGATATCTGTTGGTTTGGTCAAGATGATTATCTGATGAAGCCGTCCAACATTTGTTTAGCAGTTTCATGCATGAAATGGGCGATTATTTTAAACGGGCTATCTCAGTGGATAGCAAGCTGATATTTTTCAAATTAAAAAAATCGTATATTCAAATAACAGTTAGAATTGAGAGAGAAGAAGTATAAACTAAGACTATTTAAAAGCAACGATTGTAATTGATGGTGTAGTCGAAAGTAGTATGTTGCCAGTTGGAGGTGCGTAGTAATGATGGTACTGTATAAGCTCTCGGCAAAGTAGCATCAATTCTTATTGATTTAGATGATAGACCATTTTGATTGTATTAAATAACCGCTTCCTCGCCATAAATTTTCGACCGTGGCCGTTTATAACCGTGGCCACATCCGAACACGCCATATGGGGACGGTCGCATCGCGTTTGTCCGTCCGGTGAATTGATTTCCACTGTTTCCTTTGTTGCTTTTTGTAACTGTGTCGATTATCGACGGTGAAAACACGGACACCGGTGTCCCATGTCATCTGGGGCCCGGGGCACCGGAGAAAAGAAGCCGGCCGTTTCCGAGAAGAGGGCGTGATATGAAAGAACCCTGTCTGACATGTGTCTTCGGCCTCAGGCGGACGGACACCCGACCGCACCGGATCAAACGAGGAAGCCAATTGGCCATTTCCTCTCTGAGACATTCCGAACATTAACATGAAATATCCGAGCGGCTGTATTCGTACGTTCATCTTTTGCAATTGCGCCTTGGTTATGTGCAGGGACCAGTAGAAACGTGAAATTATATGTTGAGATCTGCGGGTGATGAACCTGCAGCTTGGGTTTTCTCCTCACCCAGGTCTTCAGAGATAATTTTAGTAATTTTGCCGTCTACAATAGTTTTTATCATCAGAGATTATTCCTTCAATAATAAGAAGAGAGATTATACAAATAAAATATGTAATATTTGATCTTTTCCGTTTATTCTGGTCCGTCTATCCTCGCTATTTTGGTCTATCTATTATGTTTGATGATTTTATATTTTAAAAGTTTTTATATTTCATTT